TCGCCGATACTGATATATCGGCGACAGGCTCATATCGGCCGATAATATCGGCAAAACGATATATCGGTCGGGCTCTAGTTATAAATTCACTGTAAACCACGGCTTCACGGGGCTTATTGCTTTATTTTAATTTGTATTTTTAATTAATATAATATTTTAATTAATAATATTATATTATATTATAATTAATATTATATTTTAAGAATAATATATATAATATTATATAATAATTAATAATAATAATAATAATTTATGCATTTAGCAGACGCTTTTATCCAAAGCGACTTACAGTGCATTCAGGCTATACATTTTTTATCAGTATGTGTGTTCCTTGGGAATTGAACCCACGACCTTTTGCGCTGCTAACGCAATGCTCTACCACTGAGCCACAGGAACATATATTATAATATGTTAATAATATTTAAAATATTTTATAAATGTAAACATTGTATAAATGTAAACTTTTAATTCATTTGTATAGTTTTTTAAATAAAAAGTAGCTAAATAATAAATGTCTAAATTAAATGTAATTTGTTATTAAAATGTTCTTATTCTTAAAAATAGCCTTTTGTTTAATTAATTTTATTATTTTTCTTTTTTTATTAATTTAATATAATATACAATAATAATGCCTTAATTAAATAGAATTTAATAAAATGTTAATAAAAATGACTTTTCATTAATGTATCAATTTTCTATTTTATTTCCATTTTTTTGATTTTTTTAGTTGACTTTGTATTGTTCTTTTTTTTAAATCAAAATAATAAATAATAAAAATTATTTACTGTATATTGTTACAGAAGATTTCTATTTTGAATAAATGCTGTTCTTTTTAACTTTTTATTCATCAAAGACTCCTGAAAGTATCACAGGTTCTAAAACAATATTAAGCAGCAAAACTGTTTCAAATATTGATGATAATAAATCATCATATTAGAATGATTTCTGAAGATCATGTGACACTGAAGACTGGAGTAATGATGCTGAAAATACAGCTTTGATCACAGAAATAAATTACAGTTTAACAGATATTCACATAGAAAACAGCTGTTTGAAATTGTAATAATATTTCACAATTTTACTGTTTTTTCTGTATTTCTGATCAAATAAATGCAGCCTTGATGAGCAGAAGAGACTTCTTTAAAACACATTACAAATCTTACTGATCCCAAACTTTTGAACAGCAGTGTGTGTGTTATTTATATTTATTTACTGTCTGACACCATCACTGTACCATGGTACTGCCGAAATACTGTTTTTGTAAGCGATAGAGCTAAAGCCTCATTCAGCAGCGAGTGTCATGTGTGTGTGTTGCTTCTGTTTGTTTGTCGATGTCTAGTCTTGAACGCGATGACCGCAGAAGAATACAGGACGGTTTACTGGCCAAAACTAGAGAGAGCCATTGAACATCTGCTCACTCAAAGCCCGATGGAGCACATCTCAATCTCATATGAACAGATCTACAGGTTTGTGCTCCTTCACTCCTGAACGAGTTCCTAGAGACACAGGAGCAAAACGTCTCTGGCAATAATAAATAACATGTTGCTCAGATGTGTTTTTTAGTTAATATGTCTTTCTGTTTTCTTCTTCCAGTCATGTTTATAAGTGTGTGTGCCAACAGCACTCAGAGCTGCTCTACAATGACCTGATGTGGAAGATCACGTCTCATCTAGAACAAGTGTCTTCTGAGCTACAGGTCCGTGTATAGACGCATTAAAACCTCTACGTATTGCTTTTGTTGTGGGCTTTTAAATCACATACTACCACAATGAAATCATTCTTTCACATTTATATGGTGTTTGTGATGTATACATTGATATACATGACAAAATATGATTTTTAGAAAACAAAACAAAAAAAATAATAATACATGCATTAATAAAAAAAATAATTTATATTGAAAAATGTTAACAAAGTCGTCTTTATTCACACGTTTTTAACCCAAATTTTTTTTTTATTATTTTTTTATTTTATAAAGACGTAATATTTATTGATTTTTTTTTAAAGAAGCTAAATAAATATCTAAAATGTATATAATTTTTCTTTAAATGTGTTCATAAAATTAATTTTTTTATTAACTTTTAATTAATTTTCTATTATTATAATGTTTTTATACATTTTATTATTCTATTTTTTTTTTAGAAAAAAAGCAAAATAATAAAAGTCTAAATTAAATATAATTTGTCATTAAAATCTGTTCATAAAATTACTTTTTGTTCATTTATTGTTTTTTAAATTTTATTAATGTTTTTATAATTTTTATTAGATTTGTATTGTTTTAGAAAAAAATGCTCCTAAAAATGTCACTTTTATCAAATTGTTTAATACATTTTTTTTTATTTATAAAGACTTTTATTAATTTTTATTGTTTTAAAAAAAAAAGAAGCAAAGTGATGCCTAAAATTTTTTTATTAAAAATGTGCTCATAACATTACTTTTTATTAACTTTTTAATTATTTAATTAATTTTCTATTGTATTCATGTTTTTATAATTTTTTATTAATTAATTTTGTATTGCTTTTTTCTTAAAAAAAGCAAAACAATAAATGCCTAAATTAAATTAAATATAATTTGTCATTAAAAATTACTTTTTATTAATTTATTAATTTTCTATTTTTATAATTTTTTAATAGTTTTTACATTTTTTTAAAAACAATAAATACCTAAATAAAATAAAAAAATAAAAAAAATTCTGTTGTCTCATCTCTTTTGAAGGCCAGTCCACCAGAACATTTAATTGAAAACTTTAACCTGGCTCTGACGCAGTACACAGCCGCCCTGCACTGCATCGTTCCCGTCTTCATCTATATGGTACAATGCCAATACTCTGTTTTGACTATAACTTTAAACACAACACTTTCCTTGTTTTGTCAGATCATTTGAATTCTGTGTGCATTTATCTGCATTTGAACCCATTTGTGTTAAAGAACAAGTTCTACATTGAGACGAAGCTGAACCGAGACCTGCGGGACGATCTCATGAAGCTCTTCTCGGATCACGTCGCAGAGAAACACGTCAGCACGCTACTGCGTGAGTGCAGATCAAAGCCTTTGGACTCTGCAATGCATTGTGTAAATATATATTTATTCAAATGTTACATTTTCCTCAGCTCTTCTCAAAAAGGCTCATTCCATGCCATTTCAAGTCAAACCATCAACTATGGCAAGTGTTGTGAAAGGCCTTTATGCCCTCCGGCCAGGTGAGAGGATTTCTCTTTTATTTTAGTTATTAGTTTAGTTTTGTGTCGGAGTGACGCCGTCATTCTGTTTGCATGCAGCATTTGCAAGCATTTCTCCAGTACGACATATCTCTGTTATCTGTGTATGGTTTTTCATGTGTATCTTAAGTTGTAGCTACTTTCTTAAAAGCATTGCATTTACAGTGGCCCCCAAAAAATATTTAGATACTTAAGTGACTTAAATTTAATTGCATTTCATGCAAAATATCAAACCAAGAGGCATCTGTAAGCAAACGATGCAGGAGCTTTTCTCAGAACTAACTGCATTTTTCTCTTTAAATTATTTTGCATTTATTTTTAAAGAAATTAAGCACAAACACACTTTTCAATGAAAACATTTCACATAACTAAGTTTATAGTTTCAATTATAAAACTAGGTGAAATAAACATCATTTTACCTAGTTTCTTTTTTTTAATATATATCATAAAACTAGTTAAATGATGTTTATTTCACCTATTTTTATAATTGAAACTATAAACGTTATTATGTGAAATAGGTTTGATTGAAAAGTGTGTTTGTGCTTAATTTCTTTATAAAAAAAAAGCCATTTGTTTTAATATATGTTCTTATATAATGCAAATACATTTATACTTTTTTAATATCACCTGTATATAATATATACATTTACTAAAAATAAATAAATAAAAATATAAAAAATATTTTATTATAAAAAAAAATTTTTTTTTTTAAATTGCCCCTTTTGGACTTGCATTTCGATCATAGATAGATAGATAGATTTAAATTTTTAATTTCCTATTTTAATAACGTGACAAACGACTCGACTGATGGACTGCAGTCACATGGAAATCTATTGACTTCTAAAGACACTTGCAATTAATTCCGTTGAACGCATTAATCCACTGATAGTCCGATAAATGCATTTTAAGAAGCTACCGAATTAAATCGCTGTTCAGAGTGAGTTTTTCCTGAATCCACAATAATCAAATCAATTTGAAATCCAGCCAACAATCTCCACCTCTAACATGCCAGTTCTTTATAAAATGCTCCACAGTAGTGTAAGTTAAGATGTCAGTTCAGATCTTCTTCTTTTTCTTCTAGACTGGGTTCCTCTTGCTCCGGCTCTGTTCTCTAGATTCATTCCTCAGATCGATGCTCCTGCTCTTGAGTCTCAGCTCCTGTATTACGCGGCTCAAGATAAAACACTGCAGATGGAGCTTTCTCAGAACGGCTTCTCCAGGTACCGCTGTCTGCAAACCTCACCTGTATCTGTAAATAAAGCCAAATCCCACGCCTGACCTCACCTGGCCTCCTTCCTTCCGCAGGGGCGATCAGTCGCGGAAGCGAGCGAGTGAAGAATCGTGACAGTCAAGTGGATTTTTACACGACTTCAGTGAGAAGACACAAACACGTCTGAGATTTAGAAGCTTCCCGATACACTCGCCGACACGCTGCTGCAATTCAAGCCTTCGTAATTCAGTAAAAATCACTTCATCACAGACTTTATCTGATACAGAGATGCTTCATGTCTTCATACGGCTCTTTGGGAATTCTCACATAAAGCTTTACCAAACTACACAAACATATGAGCATCATCTCTAGGGCCTTCAGGTTGTGTGCAGAGACTCAGAGAGGATCTGTGAGAATGCCTCTTTTCTCTCGTTCTGGATTTGCTTCACTGAATTGATCATATGTGACCCTGCAGCACAAAAGCAGTGTTAAGTTGCTGGGGTATATTTGTAGCAATAGCCAACAATACATTGTATGGGTCAAAATGATAGATTTTTTTTTTATGCCAAAAATCATTAGGATATTAAGTAAAGATCATGTTCCATGAAGATATTTTGTACATTTCCTACCGTAAATATATCAAAACTTAATGTTTGATTAGTAATATGCATTGCTAAGAACTTCATTTGGACAACTTTAAAGATGATTTTCTCAATATTTTGATTTTTTTGCACCCTCAGATTCCAGATTTTCAAATATTGTCCTATCATACATCAATGGAAAGCTTATTTATTCAGCTTTCAGATGAGGCATAAATCTCAATTTCGAAAAATGGACCCTTATGTCTGGTTTTGTGCTCCAGGGTCACATATTTCCAGATTGATTTATTCAGTCACGCAGGCTGGTTTCACTTTCTACTCATTTTTCCTGGCCTTGTCGTTCAGTGAAATCATCCGGTTTGCTGTGATCTCAGAAAGGATGGTTCGAGACTGGATGCAGAATGTCTCAGCAGGTGATGAATGAAGGTCTTCAAAATGCAGATTCTTACCCACTTGTTTTTTTATTTTAGGATCACTACAGTAGTATTAAACACTTTTAGCTGATTTATCCAATAATAACGTGCCTTTGGCTATTCGCCTTCCTTCCTTTCAGACTTTTTAAGTGAAATGTAAAATGTAAATCAATCATTTATTATGACAACCACTGTTGATTTTATTTTTTTTGGTGCGTCACACATTGAATCTGGAACCACAACAGTTTGTGAAAAACAGCAGAGATAAAGTACATCTGAAATCCTGGTGTGATATAAAGGGCTGCTAATAATTAATCTGGAATAAACACATGACACTGAAACAACAATTGTGTGTAATAACTTTCATTAAGTCATTAAAAAGCACTATTAAATTATATAATGCCAATATATCACTAGTTGATGCATTTTTCATTCATATATTTTCATATTTGAAAGTATATGAAGTATATTTAGGTGTTATATAATAATGTTTATGCCTTAATTAAAGTTAATATAAAGTGTCAAGTAAGCCATTTTTTCAGAATAAACAACAGAGACAAGAATTGTTTAATAACTAAGTCATTAACAAGCAGTATTAAATTATATAATGCTAAATAGATCATTAGTTAATGCACATATTATATTTTCACATGTGGATGCATATGAAGTTTGTTTAGGCATTATATAATAATGTTATAATGTTGTTTATAACTTAATAAAAGTTATTATACAAGGAAGCAAAACAGATTGATCAAATTTCCTACTGTTATGGTAATTTCTGTTTAACAGAACTAAAGACAGTTAAACTAAAGTTATATGTAAAATAATTTTTTAACGAGTATTTCATTATAACCTCGTTACAAAACAATGTATGAAATGAGCAAAATGGCAAGCAGAACACTTGAAAAAATAAACAGTTATTACCAAAATGAATATGATCCCACTTGTTTCTGTAATTTTCTGTTGTTTTGTATTATAGTTATAATCTAAAAGCATGGCAATAATGAGAATGCAAGGGAAAATTGTCATGAAAATAATGTCACAATGCAAAAGAAAAAATTAATTGTCCTCAAAAAAAGGACAATGGATTTTTAAGTTGGACATATTATTCATGGAGCTCCCAGTTTCTCGTAGAAAACTTGTAAATATCAGGAAATTTTATAGTTGTCATTTGCAGGCCTGGAAAATAAAGAAATCTTGCAGTGCACCTGCAAAATGAATTTTTCTAGTTGTGTTCAGCTCTAAATTTCTGTTTGTTTATTCACAGGTCTCTAAATATCTAGCGATTGGTCTCATGTTTTAAGAGGAATTGTACAATGTATGTTTTTGCGTTGCAGTAATGAGATGTTGAGAGTAAATTGTCATGAAAATAATGTAGCATTGCATCACTTGCTCTGCAGTGAATGGGTGCCGTCAGAATGAGAGCTGATAAAAACATCACAATAATCCACAAGTAATCCACATCACTCCAGTCCATCAGTTAACATCTGGAGAAGACAAAAGCTGAAACTAATCCAGCATTAAGACCTTTTTAACTCAAATACGAGTCCATAATCCATAATAACTCTTCCTCCGGTGAGAAAGTGTTCTGGTCTGAATCAGGAGAGAAATCTGCACAGATCAAGCAGCGTTTAAACAGCTCTAAACTAATATGTGGCTGGATTTTGATGTGAGAGACAACAGGAGATGCACTTTTTCACTGGAGGAAGCGTTATTATGGATTATAGAATCGTATTTTAGTTAAAAACGTCTTGATGGATTTGTTTCAGCTTTTGTCTTCTCCAGATGTTAACTGATGGACTGGAGTGCTGTGGATTACTTGTGGATTATTGTGATGTTTTTATCAGCTCTCATTCTGACGGCACCCATTCACTGCAGAGCAAGTGATGCAATGCTACATTTCTCCAAATCTGATGAAGACACAAACTCATCCTAATCTTGGATGGCCTGAGGGTGAGTATATTTCCAGCAAACTATTCCTTTAACACCCATCATGCACTGCTTCTGCGTCCTCCAGACTGTCGTAGGTGCTTCACAAAGGTGTCACCCTTCTCCTGACAGCATTCTCACCGGCCAATGAGGAGCGATCGTTCCCTGGCACACGCTTCAAACCCTCCACCTCCCTCAAATAACCTGCCACCGACACGCTGACACATGTTTCTGCTTTACTGGCGGGCGGTCACTGCGTAGCTGCTGTAAACTTCAAGGTTAACTTTGCTGAAGACTAGGAAACGCTCTGGCAGCTGCATTGGATTTAAGTGGTTTCTAAGCAGGTGCAGTAGACCTAGAGGTTGTGGACATTCACACAAGTCAAAGGTAAAGCACCTTGTTGTCTAATGACTTGTAATGCTTTTGTTTAACGCATGCAAGGCACTCACTTTTTATCATGCTTAACTTTGGAATAAAATTGCATCCATCTCTGTATGTATGTTTGTCCAGACAGACTCGGTTTCTATTTTAGTTTGGCATGTCAGTAAATCACGTACATAATAAAGATGCATTGACTCTTATAGAATAGTTTACTGATCATTCTGCTCTTGCAAAAGTGCTTGTAATGAGTCATATTTTTTTATAGTGCTCATGTAAAGTGAGCTGTGCTATAATTAGCAGTGACGGGGGGCTGGAGTGTGTTTGCACAGGATTAATGCACACAACAGCTGTCTGCTGGAAGGGTATCCTGCTTCTGTTAATTGCTCTGATTTGAGTGTCAGTAGCATCTGCAGGTGTATCTCGTTTCTGGATTCAATAACAACAGCGGGCCAATGGTGAAAGCCTTTCTCAGATTTTGCTAGGAAGATTCAAATGTGTTGATATTAGGCTCTAAATATTAAAGGAATTCAAAAACCTCTAAATTATCTAAACCAAATGCTTAAAATGTGCACTGAAAAAGTAACTGTAGGATTTCAATTAAAAATTGCTAGTAAATTTCACAAATAATTACAAAGAAACACAATGAATTAAATGTGATTTTATTTTAAGTAGAAAGACTGAAAGAATATTTTCTTGTAAAATGTGCCAGTGTTATTTTAGTATCATTGATAAACTATTATAGTTTTTATTAACATTTTTAATCAGTTTTCAATTTTAGTGAAAGTTTTAGTGATTTTGATGTGTATTTCTGTCATTTTTAGTAGTTTTTTTATGTCTATATAGTTTTTATTAACTTTTATTTCAGTTTTAGTTATTTTAGTACATGAAGTTAAACTAAATTAAAATTGGCAACTTGCTGTAATACATTTTTTTGTAAATATTTTATTTCAGTTAATGCTTATTTTATTGTTTGTTTATTTTATTTCAGGTTTTTTATGGCTTTACTTTTACTTTCACTTTTATAACTTCAAAAGTGTAGATGCATTTTATACATTTAATGAAAATGGCATTTGCTTTCTTTCTTTTTTTCTTCTTCCATAGAAAGCTTTGAAATATCAGGACATTTTAGAATTATTATTTCCAGGCCTGAATGAATATATCTTATAGTGAATGTGAATTTTTCTACTCCCAGTTTTTATTAGTTGCTCTTTGTGAGTGCAATCTTGTTAGAAATTATTATTAAAACTCCATGTCTAGTTACCAAAACTAACTGGAAAAGATATTAATTGTTCCAAATGTGTTCTGATATTCAGAGTGCTCTAAATATCTAACGACTGATCTCACGTTTTAAGAATTCTGTTTGTAGTGGAACAAAAAAGAAGGAAATTGGCTTTTATTCTGGATGTTTTTGGAATTCTTAAGTTTAATAGAAATATGAATATATGTAAATAACCTGGAAATGTCAGAAACTTTGTTGTTTCCAATAGTCAATCTTACAGTAGTTATGAGTTTATCTAGCTGTGTTCAGCTCTAAATTTTTTAATTGCCTGGAAACTGCTTCTTGTGAGTGCAATCTTGTTAAAACATTTTTTATTAAAAGTCCAGTTAAAAATAAATGATATCCAGCGGGTAAATACATAAATAATATGTATTTATAAGAACAAATAATATAATATCTCATATCTGATTGCAGTATAAATTCAATATCATATTTTGAATTATGTATCCATGTAAACTAAATTAACTTCTAAAAGTAGGCATGATATGTATACAGAAACATAATGCTAATTTGCTGAAAGCTACTGTCCTTTTTTAGAAAACTAGACAGTGGGTTAGCAGAAAGCATGATAAAAAACACACCGAGTTTCACCACAGTAGATGATTATTATTGTCTTAATGTTCTTAATCTTTGTCTTTTTGTCTCCAGCAGCATGCAGGAGAACAGCATGGATCAGCCCACGTCTTTATCGCAGCTTCTGCGTGAGAGTTACCTGGCCGAGGCCCGAGCTCATCACAGACACGGCGAGTCCAGCTGCATAGACAGCCCTCGCCGCCTGGTCTACGGGACGCTCAAGGAGAAAGCAGACGACTCCGGTGGGATAGTGGATCCACAGTTCCCTGACCTGTCTGCCTTCCTGAGCCAGGAGGAACTGGACAAGAGCGTCGATCTGGCCTGCAAAGCGTTCAGCAGTGATCCTCGAGAACGTGAGGAGAGATCTGACGCACATCCACCAGTGAGCCACTCTAATGTTCCTTCCAACAAACCCACTCCAGAAACAGAGGTCATTTCGGAAAGACACACAGTCCAGACTCCCATCCAAGACACTGCGATCAGGAACGTCAGAAGTGCTAGGGAACCTGCGGCGGATTTCAAAAGACCTCAGAGAAACGCTCCATACGGCTTGGAGACCCAATCCAAGAAGGAGTTCCTCAACAAAGCAGCTGACTTCATAGAAGAGCTTTCGTCTCTGTTTAAAGCCAACAGCTCGAAGCGAATTCGGCCTCGTACTTGCAAAACCCACCGGAGCCGATACCAGAATAAGACCCAACTTGATGGCACTTCATACTCCATTAATACAGAAGATCGAGAAAGGCCTATTCTGCTCAAGCAACAGATGGAGGAGCCAGTGGAGAACAGTGGAGTCACAGAGGAGCCGTATGAGGCAGAGGAACCTCAGGAGCCGGAACCGGAGCCGGTGTGTGAGGAACCGGCTCTGATTCCACCGGAGAGCTCAGAGGAACCCGTGTGCGAACCTCCACACTTTATACAGAGACTCAAAAGCAGGGAGGTTCCTGAGGGCAGTAAAGTCCAGTTGGATTGTATCGTCAGAGGACTGCCTGCTCCTGAAGTTCGGTGAGTTTGAACTACTTTTATTGATGCATATTATTAGTGCATTATTATTACTATTGATGCATATTATTAGT